CAAAACAATAATTATTTAAAATGTACAAAATAATATTCCTCTATAATTATTAAAATAATTATGACTAAATACCATATAATAATAATAATAATAATAATAATAATAATAATAATAACTTTTTTGAAAACTGGGGTGTTACAAGGTGCAATGTGTTGGGCCGATCCGATGTGATCGTTCCTGGCCTCCACTTGGGTCGATAGGATGTAGGTGGCCGAATGGCTAAATGGTAGTACCTGTACAACATATAAATTAAAAGATAAAAGAAAAAGAGAATAAAAGAAAAATATTTCTTAGAAGTAAATAAATATTTTTAAAGTTAATATTTTTTTATAGTTAATTACTTTTTTTAATGACTGTTGTAGAGTGCTAATATATTCTCTACATGTAATTGACATTCGAACTCAACTTTGATTTCAAAATCCATTTTTATATAAAGACTTTTCTAATGTTTTTTCTTCAAAATAAAATATTGGTAGCAACTCCATTAAAAATATTTAGGTTAAATGAGTTTTTAGTTTCTCACCCTATGAAGAATTCGATTTTTACTCGTTAAATTTTTTGCCAATTTTTATTCCTAAATTTTTGTCATATAAATTAGACCTTGTGGCTAAATTTCCTTTATTAAATAATTATGCTAATAAGTCATAGTTGGCTTGACTATTATGGAGAAAAGAAAGACATTAGAAGGGAGTTGAAATGAGTCTATAAAAAGCACACACTTATTCAAGTTAGTGAAGTAGTATGAAATGTTTCCGGAGTGTAGGTGAATCAATAGAACACAAGGTATTTTTATATTGGTTCGTCTCAACCACCGTGAATATGTCTAGTTCTTGATTAAACTCGACCAAGTTTCACTACCTATGTAAAGTTACAAGTATTCTTTCGTAAGACACTTTTGACGCAACCTAAGTATTTTGACTGACCTCTTCAAGAAACTAACAAAGCATTCCTTAATACAAATCTTTTCCAAGCTTTAAACACCCAAGTATTCTTTTATAGTTGAGCCTCTTTAGCCTAAAAGACACATAAGTATTATTTGACAAACTCCCTAACTTGAAAGCATTAAAACAATGTTAAAGAAGTTGGGTAAACTAAAACTGTTGTTTCGTTTTACTATCCAGACAAGATAAACCAATTAAATATAGAGCGCTTTATACAAAGAATGAATATTTACCATGTGTGTTCTCTTTCTAGATTTCAAACTTCCTTTTATAGGGCTTCAATGGATATCGTCGTTGCATATCCTTGAACTTCTCTCACAAACTTTCTTCATTTGTCTTGAATTTTCATTTTCTTATGGAGAGAAGTGTTTATTGGTGCATTAATTATGTTTCACCAAATTATCACTTCTTATTTGATCAAGGAAGCTACTTACCATCTTTTAAATATTGATTAAATGGAGTCATGTATGGGTCAGTTCAAAATGGATTTTTTGAGAATTTTCATAATTCAAGGGATTCACTTGTCTTTTTTCGACGAAAAACATGTCTTCCTTCTCTTTTGTCATTTCAAGTATCGAGAAAGTTATGTTGCTTCGATTTGTTAAGGAATAATATATATACAAAGATCGATTTAGTTATCAAACATCATAAATGATATTTTTAATACTATAATTTTCTTATTAAAAATATTTATTTTATTATTAATTAAGATGTTTTGTGATAATTAAATGTGTGGATTTTAATAATTATTTGTAATTATTTTTATAGGAATATATGGTGAGGTTTTATAATTAAAGGTTATATTATTTAATTAATTATTAATTAAGAGATGGGATTTTGGGATAACTATAATTTTCATTTTTAACTAAATTGTTAAAGGGAGGTTAAGTTTTAAAAATAAAATTTTCCCTCATTAGATTTTACACTCTTACATTTCACGTACATACTTATGCTTCAAATTTCAAAGAGCCTAAAGGAGAAGGAAACCATCCCAAAGTTGCAAGACCATCATTTAGTGCTTATCAAAGTAAAGTGGAGTGAGAAACCTTAATCTAGGTGTGAGAATGTGTAATGAGTAGTGGGATTGACCCTAATCTTGTCTTTGTTCTATGTCTAAGAATGATAGGTTTTTCCCAAATGTGTCTTTATCTTCTTTATTTCTCATTGTACGTTCTGATTGTTGTAATTAGTGTGTGTGTGACTAATGTTTGAGTTTGCGTTGTAATTGCATATTTTGGTGTTCCTATGGTTTCTTGTGGGAAACCTTTGGTAGTTGTATGAGAATATTGTTTGAAGATGTAATTGTATGAATATATTGTACTTTTTAGAATGTTTACTACATGATTTAGAACACTTTCACCGATTGTATAAATAGATTAAAAATTTGGGACAAAAATAAAAAAAAAATTTATAGAGAGCTAGAAGTGTTGTTTGTGATTCCCATGTTGAGTGCGAGTTTCATGCCGAGTGTGACCACGTTGAGAATGAGTTTCACGCTTAATGTGGCTCAATTAAAGAGTCTGGGTTACTCTCTAGAAGCTCTGTGTTAAGTGCTAATTACCTAGTTGTGTTTCCTTCCTTCTTTATTTAATGAATTATACTGGTGTGATTTGAATCTTATTCTACTTCTCTCTTGTGATCTATGAATGGTAGTTGTTCTATTCAATGTTAATGTTTAATCAATATAATTGCATTGTTGATTGTTATTATGGGATATTTGATGATTATGTGATATGAGATAAATTGATATTATTGAAATGACATGATGAGGTCGTATGATAATGTGATATGATAATGCATAGAGTCTTGATTTACATGTATCATATGCATACATGTTTTTAAGCATACCATATGGAATATATTGCCATGAAAGACCCCTTTGTCTAAAAGCTTGAGGATCAATCTTTGGCGATAGCTTGGTTTGTAAGTCCTAGTCTCACTCATTGTGTGCATGAGATGTATCTTGCACGACTTAACTAGAATCTCGAATGGCCTGATTTGAAATCGAAATGGCCCGTTCTGAATTTGAAATTAACTCATAACAACCTGGGTCAAAATGGCCCGTTCTGGATTGGGGACACCCCGTTTTGACCTAGGATTTCTAGGCCATTTTAGAAGTTTGGAACGGTCCATTCCAGATTAGGAATGTCCCATTCCAGACTCCTAATTCATCTTTTTGGGTTTTTGGGCCTTTTGATGTCTTCCTGGTCAATTCTGATGTCGTACTCGGGCCTTTGAGAATTCTTCGTCCTATACTAAAGGCCCATTTCCTTGTTTACATGTTCCAGATGAAATTAGGTGTCTACAGATGCCCCTCTTTGTCCTTTGGATAACTATGTGTTGCTTTTACAAAGGCAAGTAAAGAGATAGACATTTCGTTTGAGTCTTCTCCTCTACTTCACAGTATAAGTGCTTCGACATCACTTTCTTCAAATAGATGGGTTTGCTCGTATCTTTGTTCCTTAGAATAGCTAAATGTTGGGTTATGTGCTTCATTGGGGAGGGAGGATGGAAAAATGTACCATCTAAACTTCTAGTCTTCGTATGGATGCTCTATACTACTTCTGCTTGCCTTGTGATGGTGAGGTGTAGATCTTTGCTAGTTCATTGTAGAGTATAATCTGAGCTTAGGCTCTCCAGGTTGGACTGGTATTAAGGCTTCTAATCGGCCCAAGCCGTGATATGAGTACCGTCTCTTGAGATTTCTCCTTATGGCTTTGTCATATACTAGTGTGGGA